GAGTTTGTAAAGTAGACGCTACGTTGTTGTCTTCATCATGCCAACTGAAGTTATTGTGTGCCTCCTGAAACGTATGTGCCTTTGTCAGGGAGAACCAGGGAGAGGCTGGATTGGAAGCTCATTCATGAAAAAAATGTTGTAGCAACTCAACTTTACTGCAGAAGCATCTTCTGCTCAGATGTCTCTCAGCCAGATTCTTTGTCTTTTTCTTTTTCTCCATGTTGCCTCAGTGGCTATTTCTGTTTTGGAGTGTGTCATTGCAGTAACAGCTTATGTTTTGAGACCTGCACTTGACAGTCTGCAGTAAGCTACATTGACCCGACGATGCGTGTGCCAGCGAGTGGCCATCCCCTTCTGAGAAAGCAGAAGGCACATTGCTAAGGCTTCCTCACTGTTTATAGGATCAATCCACGTTGCTGCAATATATTTTTGCCTTTTTTATGCTCCTTGGCACTTTTTCCCTCTGCTCTTACACTTCCACTTTAACTCCTGTGTAGCAGACACGAAGCCATGGCTGCATGGTGACCTCAACGTGCACATGGACAAAGATGCCATGTGCCCAGTAAAGGGGAGCAGGAGAGAAGGGTGGTGTCTGCCTGGTCCCACTTCTCCACCAGTGAGCTTCAGATGGTACCAGCACGTAGGAACGGGAAGCCCACACTTCCATCTGTGTTCCAGCACAGCCATGTCCTTCTCCCGACGCTCTCATCAGCTGTAGCAGAAAGAGTGCAGTGCCAAGAGCTTGTCAAGAGGGAAGTGATTTCTGAGTGCTTTATTGAGAGACAAACTTGCATGATTAGGAGTAAATTCTCTGTTAGTTTAGATGGAGATTTGACCAATGTTTTTCTGCTTACGAGAGGCTGGGAAGTGGCCTATGAAGTTTGCTCATCTCTTAATTTCAAGAAGTCTTTCTCCTTGGTGAAGTCTCTTGGAAGGACCTTTACTGTTCATGTGATAAGATGTGGTGCTAATGACTTGCATGATACACGCTCTAACAGCAGTGAAATGCAAGAAGCCAAAACTCCCTTAACAAATACGGTTCATTTAACTAAAAGAGGCGGACTGAGCAGCAGGTGGAAGGGTTAAACAAAAGGAAAAAAGATTATAAAAGTTTGCGGCTTTGGCTTCACTACAAATGGCTCTCTTGCAGACTTTATAGCATTAGTGTTGCTTCTCATAAACCTTGAAACCATTCATCCATTTAGAAAGATTAAATTGGTTAGTCATCCAGAACGTAAAATATACACATCCATTTTGTCTGCTACCCTAAACCCTCTGAAGTACAATAAATGCAGCTGATGCCATGGAGCTGAAGCATTGAGTATCAATGATGGCCTCAGTTGTGGTGTTTACAGTTTGCCAGGTCCTGTGTTTCTGAGAGGATATTCATCTGCTGTTGCTCAGAGACAGTAAGAGCAGAGTCTTTGAGCTGGAAAACACAACTGTAATGTATGATGTGAGGGGCTCACAGAAAGCATTTGTTGTTACGAGCAGGGAAAATTCTAGAAATGTTAGATTTGTTGTTATTCTTAGAAGGTCAAAGTTAAGAGGCGCACACTTCACTTACGATACCTTAACGTATTTACAATGGTCTGTTGAGCAGTTTGCAAAGACAGGTTTGTTTGGTTTTCTAGTTACAGACAAAGCTATTGCTGTTTAAAGTTTCACTTGAACAAGCTAGACAAAGATGGCCAGACTCTTCTGAAGCAAGAATTTGTAGAGACACTTGGTCAGGAAGCAGGTTCATGATTAAAAATATAATAAAAACTTAGATTTAGTTTAGCAGCATTTTTTCTTGATTAATATCAGGATTACAGAAGTAGGAC